ACTTACAGAATTTCGGAGTCAAAACAGTCCTTAAAGATCGTCGAGTCCACTTTCCTCTCTTGGCAGATACTTAAAGACGCCCAGAACTTTAAGACAGCTGCCCTTCCTGCAAGGCTTAGACAGTTCCCTCAGCCCTCTCCCTCGGAGAAGCCAGCCCTGGCACGCGGTTGGCCAGAGACCCCTCCCAGCCCCTTCCTCGCTGCGGTGGCCAGTGTTTTCTTAGTTGTTTGTTTGTGTTTTTTTCCCCCTTGTCTCATTTTCTCCAGACTGCAGAGCCCCAGCCCACCGCCCCTTCAGCAACTCCCTTTTCTGGGAAGAACCCCGTCACTACATTGCTTGAGTGTGTGCACAAGCTGGGGAGCTCCTGTGAATTCCGCCTCATATCCAGAGAAGGCCCTGCCCATGACCCCAAGTACATCCTTGTGTCACGTATCTCTGCTGAGGTTTTCTCGAAAGAGAGAGAGACACATGTCCTCCTTGCCGCCTCAGAGATGGCAGACGGTCTCACACAGCAGTCACCCCTGTTTTCAGTATGGAAGGCGGGGCCCCGGCGGGCACGGCTGCTGCTTGTGCGGCAGAGAGTCTGGGACTAGGACTCTGAGGGCGAAGCAGGGACCGAGCACTAGGGAGACGCGTGGCTCGGAGGTTGCCAGTGGTGGGACAGGCCCGTGCAGGACTGGGTCACGCCCGAGAAGCCGCCCTGAGGCCCTGCAGACCTGCCTGTCAGAGGAGGGCTCCTGCAGGAGGCGGAGCTAGGCTGACGCTTAAGTGCTGAGTAGGGGTCAGCCCGGCTGGAGAGACGGGGCAGGAGGAGGGGAAAGGCACCAGCTCTTCAAGGCAAAGGTGACTGCATGAGCCAAGGCACGGAGGCGCTGTGTGCCAGGAAGTCCCCAGCCGTGAGAGATGGCGGCCTGACAAAGGCTAGGTGAACCAGTGCTGCCAAAGCCGTTTTAACCCTCCTCTCGTCCCCCGTCAGGTTCCAGTACTGCGTTGCCATGGGGACCCATACTTTCCCCACCGCAAGTGCCCCCAGCAAGAAGGCGGCGAAGCAGATGGCGGCAGAGGAAGCCATGAAGGCCCTGCATGGGGAGGCGACCGACTTGTCGCCCTCCGAGAACCAGGTGGGCCCTTCCTGCCTGTTCTGCAGCAGGGCAGCTCAGGGTGGTCCATGAGTCCCTCGGCTTCCCTAAGTGTCACGGTCCCTCTGTGTTTGGCTAACTCTCCGCAGCCCGGAAGTGCCAGCTCGGAGCCGTTTGACAGCCTGGAGTCCGCGGTGCCCAGCAAGGTCCGGCGGGTTGGCGAGCTTGTCAGGTACCTGAACGCCAACCCCGTGGGCGGCCTGCTGGAGTACGCCCGCTCCCACGGCTTTGCCGCCGAGTTCAAGCTGGTCGACCAGTCCGGACCGCCACACGAGCCCAAGTGAGTGCTGGGTCCTGACAACAGCCTGTGTCACAGGCGGGGACGGCCCACGGCCGTGGCGGGGAGGGGGGTGTTAGCTGTGAGTGACTGTGTCTCCCGGGCCTCCCACAGGATGCTCGATCGGCCACCTGAGAACACAGTTACTAACCCAGCGTGTGTGGTCCTTTTTTTTTTACTAATTTTAATTTGCAAAGTACTACCTTACATAGAAAACCATCCAGGCTAATCTAAAAAGTATGCAGTGAATTGTCTCATTTCTATCTCAGACTTCTAGTTTCTTGAGTCCTTCTGGAAATTTCCATGCATATATTAGCATGCCTTCCATTCTTTTTGGTCTTAAACAAAAATAAGTGTACATCATATATCCTTTTCTATTTCTTGACCCCTTTACTTACCAGTGTGTCTCAGAGAGCATCACAGAGCAGCTCATGCAGGCCTTCCGTCTCTCGCGCAGCTACATTATGTGTCATCGAGTAGATACTTACAGTTTTAAAACTGTTTCTTTTGAACCAGAGATACAAAAGGGCTTCTCTGAAACAATCTCCCATGTGTCTACCAGAAAGAATGCCCGACCCTTAAAGCCCCACTCATACGTAATTTATTTACCAGCTCCCAGGGACACGGGGGGCTGGTTTTGGTCTTAACTGTTAAAAGCACTCCCGCAGTAAATATCCTTGTACTACAGGTCCTTGCTTAGATGGGCAAACTCGTCTGTAGCATAAATTATCCAGAGTGGAATTTCTGGGCCATGAGTCATGCACGTTAAAGGTTTTTTTTATAGGTAATAGGCTATCCAAAAATGAAAAGTATTATTCAAAAATAAAAAACGAGAAGCTCATTCTCATCCATTCTCCCTTTGGCCCGGCTCACACATGCGCACACACACCCCAACACACCACCGTGTGGTAACCGTGTTGTTATATATCCATTCGCAGTACCTTCTTGTTACACAGACGTGCCATGTATCTGTTGATCTCCAGCTTGCCCTGTGCATGTAACAGTTTGATCTTGGAGCATTTCCGTATTGTTTTATATTTTTTGGATATAGCTGTAAAGTACAGTGTTCCCATGTCATGGGTTTACCGTGATTTATCTCACCAGCCCATCGATGAATGCTTGGATCATTTCCGAACTTTAGCTATTATAAAAATGCTGCAGTAAATAACATGTTTACGTGCATTTAAAATTTCAGTAAATATTGCCAAATTTTCCTCAAGCGAGATTATACCAGTTTATGCTTTCACCAAAAAATACGTAAGAATGTTTTTCCCCTGCACTGTGACCAGCAGGGCATTTTCAGCGTTTTTACCTTTGTGGGTTTGGTGTCTCAGCGCAGAGCGAAGGTTCATCTACTTCCGGCTGTTCGTCGCTCTAATTTACCGTATCATAGAGCAAAGGAGACAAGCCACACGGTCACCTCCAGGGGTCCCAAAGAGGTGTTCCGTAAAATTCAGCATCCGTTCAGATTTTAAAAACCAGTCAGTTAATAAGATCGAGACGGTTGGGGGCCTCCTTCGTTCATGTGATGAAAATACACATCCGACGTCAACACCAGCAGCCAACGTAATGTTGAACGTAGACCCACCTGCTGGAGTCGGGAGGGGGGCGTGGAAGTCGGTGTCATGCTATCGAACGCTATTCTGGAATCGTTAGCTATTTCTTTACTATAAAAGGGGTTTTCAGATCTAATCGGAAAATAGACAAAGCACATGAACTGTACAGTCACAGAAAAGAGAAAAACAATTATCAGTAAACAGAAGGTGCTCAGCCTCGCTAGGTAATTTCATCGACACTTCGCCAGTCCCTGGGCAGCAGTGGTGCAGCTGACGATCATTTAGCCCAGAGGCCGGTGCCTCGGACCTGGCATCGCCACCTTCAGGAGCATGCGCACACTGCACCCGACGGGTACAGGTTTCAGTGCTTTTTTCTGATGGCACGAGACTTGAAATGGTCTCAAGTTCTGTCATTTGAGACTGGTTAAGCACAGCGTGGTGCACCCACACTTAGGAATACTATACAGCTATGAAAGAGTGAGGCGCATCTGTGTGGCATGATCTCAGGTATGTTCCTGACACACAAGCAAGGAGAGATGCGCTTGCATGTGCTTAGAACGTTTTCTTGAAAGGTTAAAAGTCCTGGTGACGGCGTTGGCTTCTGGTGGAGGGACGCTTAGTTTTCATCATATACTTTTAACTGTTTGAATTTTCACTCACACGGTATCCAGTGTTTTCAAATTTTAGAAGTCACTAAGGAGGAAAGCTCATAAAAATGGTATCTTGTCTTTTAAATTTAATAGTAAGTAAGGTTATTCACCTGTTCTTGTTTGTTTGTCGTATGTGTCTCCTCTGTGAACCGCTTGTCCTCGGCTTGTTATTCCGCATTGATGTGTGAGACCATGTAGCACAGTAAAGGGACCGGTGCACTGAGCCGTGTGCCCCAGTGTTGAGCACTCAGCCGAGGGGCCTCCTGCCCGGCCCTGTGGCAGGGTGCGCCCGGGGCGTTGGACAGCGGCCCGCCCTGGGTTAGACGCCCCAGGAGAGGACAGGCACAGGCTCCTGCCAGCTGCACGTCCCCCGTTTGCATCCTCCATTCACCATGAGTCCCCAAGCGTGTCACCTCCCAAACGTGCCAGATTCGGTCCATTTCCTCTTTCTCGTCTGTAAAATCTTCCGTAAAACCCCTACCAGGGCTTCAGGTCATTGGCTCAGAACCTAAGACCTCCAGAACTAGAACGACGAGTTGCTGGCCCTTAATGCACTGCGCACATGTGATCAGGGCACCGTGGTGACGTGCGGAAGGGAGGCGGGTGCGATCGGCTGTGGGGACACAGCGCACATTGTGCCAGTGTCCCCTGGAGAGCTGAGGACTCCAGCCGCGCGTGGGGATTGCGTAGAGCCTCTGCAGGCCACGTGTCTAGTCAGGACTCAGTAACGTGACTTCCCGCATTCAGTCTGACAGCCACCTTCACGCTACGGCAAGTGACACACTGGTTTCCCCACTACAGTGGCAACGCGAAGGTTCCTTTTTAACTACGTTACATTTTAAGAGACTCAGTTTAGAGGAAAACGTTACACGAGTAGCAGGCCAACTGATGCGTGATCTGGCCGCAATCCCATCACGATCCTTGAAGGTCCCAGGCGGGCGATGTGGCCTCAGAGACGGCTGTGAGGGGGACGGGGCCGTGCGCTGGCCGCACGGGCTGCCTCTCAGGCAGATCTAGCCTTTCTCTGGACAGCCGTCCAGGTCAGGGGCTGGTCTTTACCCCATGCCTCTCATCCCGAAGGTTCGTTTACCAAGCCAAAGTCGGGGGTCGCTGGTTCCCGGCCGTCTGCGCGCACAGCAAGAAGCAAGGCAAGCAGGAGGCCGCGGACGCCGCGCTGCGCGTCCTGATCGGGGAGAGCGAGAAGGCAGAGCGCATGGGATTCACGGAGGTAACGGGGCCGGCCGGGCTCAGCGGGCGCCTGCTCTGCCGGGCCCCAGGAGCACAGCCGGAGACAGGATGGCTGCTCTTGTGCCCCTCTGGGGGGGTCCGCTAACCCCTGTCTGGGTGAAGTTGGCTTTTAAGCTGCCACCCCTGAACCATCCCCGCCCGCGCTGAGACGTGGTGGCCCTGACGCGGCCCCTGTCCCCACAGCTCCCGCTCACCGGCAGCACCTTCCACGACCAGATAGCCATGCTCAGCCACCGGTGCTTCAACGCCCTCACCAACAGCTTCCAGCCCTCCCTGCTTGGCCGCAAGATCCTGGCCGCCATCATCATGAAGAAAGACTCCGAAGACCTGGGTGTCGTGGTCAGCTTGGGGACAGGTCCGTGCGGTGCGGGAGCTCGTCCTCCTTGTCCTCCGCTGGGGGCGAGGTCCAGGCCAGGAGGCGGGGGTCTCGCTAGGCCTCACGTCCCTGCAGTGACCTCGGCGGGGAGGGAATGCTCGCCCCCCAGGGGAGAGCGGGGCGGGTCTGGGGAGCCGAGGCCGTGTCCATCTCGCCCACTGCCCTTCGACACGTCACGCTTGCCGTGGACGCCTCCCCAGGGAACCGCTGCGTGAAGGGGGACTCGCTGAGCCTCAAGGGCGAGACCGTCAACGACTGCCACGCAGAGATCATCTCTCGCAGAGGCTTCATCAGGTGAGCCGGGAGGGGTGTGCGGCGGGAAGGCCTCCTGCTCGAGGTCATGACAAGCGACCGCCACCCCAGGACCCAGCCGTCACCTGAGCCCTCCTCCCGTAGGTTTCTCTACAGCGAGTTGATGAAGTACAACCCCCAGACCGCGAAGGACAGCATCTTCGAGCCTGCCAAGGGCGGGGAAAAGCTGCAGATAAAGAAGACCGTGTCCTTCCATCTCTACATCAGGTCGGTGCGGGCTCCATTGTCGCCAGAGCTGGCCCTGCCAGCCGTGGGGCCAGTGTCCGAACGCTCCCCTGGTCCGCGGGGCCCGCTGCAGCCTGCGCGTGCCGCTGTGCAGTGGCCCGCCCCGGTCACCTCGGCAGGATGGCTCCGAGCCAGGGGACCGGCGAGAGGTGCCCGCTGAGCAAGTCCCGACCGCCTGACCGCTGCCCCTGTCTTGCAGCACGGCCCCGTGTGGGGACGGCGCCCTCTTTGACAAGTCCTGCAGTGACCGTGCGGTGGAGAGCACAGACCCTCGCCACTACCCTGTCTTCGAGAACCCCAAGCAAGGCAAGCTCCGCACCAAGGTAGAGAACGGTGAGTGACACGGCCTGCGTCCCCACAGAGGCGCGGCCAGGCCCAGACCCGTCACAGGGACACAGGGTGGCCGCTGGGCTTTGGCCATCAGTTGCTGGAATAACAGAGTCTTGTTCACAGGGAGAGAGGAGCGGGTAGGGGCGAGGTCTGTAGAAAGGTCAGCATTCCATTTTGCATTTGGTAGTTGGGGGGCTCCCCACATCCAGTGCGATGTGGGGGTACCGCCTAGAGCTCAGGAGGGAGCCCGGCTGGAATAACATTTGCGGGTCATGCGCCTGTCATGGACCTCCACAGCCGTGGGGGTCGTAGGGTCATCTCTGGGGGACGGGGAGAGAGTGAAAGGAAGTGACCCAGATCCAGCCCGAGGCGGCCACAGGAGGGGCCGCGTGCCCGGCCCCTCTCCCAGCCGGTTGGCTGCCGCTCTCCGCCTTGTCGGCCGGCTCCTCCTCCACTGCCCTCCGATACCTCGCTGTTTCCTCACGACCCTGCCTGTCCCCCTCAGGCCATCCTACAGTCACCAGAGTGACCCTCAGACATGAGCAGGTCATGTCACTTCCCCGCCCATAGCCCTCAAGTGTGAACACAGCGGCCCTGGGCCCAGCCACCCACTCCTGGGTCTCCAAGAGAAGTGAGGTGTGTGTCCAGAGAAACGTCCATGGCAGTGCCACTCACGGTGGCGAAAAGCAGAGTGACGTGACGGGAGGGTGGACACCACGAGATGATCCACACGATGGGGCGGACTTGGCCGTGAAGAGGAGTGGGGTGTGTGCCGGACGTGGGCGCTAGGCACACAGGTCACGTGCGCCGTGACTGCACTTATGTGACGCGTCCAGAAGAAGCAAGTCCACGGCGACAGAAAGCAGACGAGCGGTTGCGAGGGGCGGGGCCGTGGGCTGCGACTGCTCAGGGCAGGAGGTTTCTTCCGGGGGCGTCGAAATGTCCTCTGTGAATGGACTAAAAGTCACTGAAACGCATGCTTTAAACGGGCGAATTCTCTCCATGAAGCTGTCATTTGGGAGAAGTGAGCCACCACAGGAGCAGACCGGGTGTCCCCGGGTCCGAAACACTCACCCAGCGGCTGCTCCTCCCTCGGGTCCCGGCTGCCCTGACACCGCTGTCCCAGAGGTGTCCCTGCGCCCTCCGGTCCCGCCCCTCACAGCCCAGCTCCGCCCCCTGCCAGAACCCCCACGCCTGTGCGGGCTCACTGCTTCCTGTCCGTCCCGTTCCCTTTCTGCCCCGCGCCCCACATGTTCTAGCACAAGGATCTCGCTCGGTTTTGCGTGCCACGGTCACCCAGCACTCGGTGGCTGCTGTGAAACGGGTGGGGAGCACGGGGGTGAGTGGCCGTGGCCCGCGAGTCAGGTGTGAGCCACGCCAGGGGGCGCCGGGGTCTGACTGCGTCTCTCACAGGGGAGGGCACGATCCCGGTGGAGTCCAGCGACATCGTGCCCACGTGGGACGGCATCCGCCTCGGGGAGCGACTCCGTACCATGTCCTGTAGTGACAAAATCCTATGCTGGAACGTGCTCGGCCTGCAAGGGGCGCTGCTGACCCACTTCCTGCAGCCCGTGTACCTCAAATCTGTCACGCTCGGTAAGGGACCTGTCCTGGGAGCCGGAACCAGCCCGTCGTCTTAGCGTCCACCTCAGCAGAGCGTGTGCTTCAGTGCCAGGCGTTAGCGTGATGTGCCCGCTCTCAGTGTGTCCGGCTCAGCGGTGGGCGACTGCCGCTGAGTGTCCCGTGTGCCGTGGCGGGAGGAGTGGCTTAGGCAGCAGGCCCAGGTAGGGACCTGCCAGGCGGGTCTCTTCAAGACGAGTTAAAGCACCGCGGCAGCTCGAAACCACAGCGTCTCGTGTCCTTGACCCCACGGCCTCACCTGGCACCCACACCCCGTGCTCGAGTGCTCGATGACCCCGTGTGTGTCCCAGGCAGCCACACTCAGGAGGTGCCTCCTTCCTAACGAGGGAGCCGTGTCTGTGTCTTGACGACTGTTTTGCGCCCTCAGACCCCCACACACACCCATACCCACCTCGGCCTCCGACGGCACTGGGTGCAAACACGTGCGTGTCTTTCCGTTTCCTGCCTAGGTTACCTTTTCAGCCAAGGGCACCTGACCCGTGCCATTTGCTGTCGTGTGACAAGAGATGGGAGTGCATTTGAGGACGGACTACAGCCTCCCTTTACCGTCAACCACCCCAAGGTGCTGCCACCCCGCCCAGGCCTCCCTCGACAGTCTGCTCCCTGTCACGCGGCCTTGTGTGCAGAGCAAAGCGCGCAGCGCGGGCCGGGGCCTTCGCTGGCGTCCCAGGGACTCGCCCCTCCCTCCCTCTAGTCTGCGGTTGGTCTGCACCGAGGTGGGCTTAGTGTGTCTGGGGCCTCGGCCAGGCAGTCCATGCTGGGGGAGGTCGGGGCCTGCACGCGCTTCCCCGCGGCCTCCACTGAGCTCCCCGTCTTTCCCCCGGTGCCCTAGGTTGGCCGAGTCAGCGTGTACGACTCCAAACGGCAGTCCGGGAAGACGAAGGAGACCAGCGTCAACTGGTGTTTGGCCGACGGCTGTGACCTGGAGATCCTGGACGGGACCCGGGGCACAGTGGATGGGTAAGGAGCGGGGCGCAGCGAGAGATTCCCCAGGGCTCCCCGTCCGCCCGCGCCCGGCACCCCATCTGCTCTTGTCCCAGGTGGGCAGCGGGTGCTTTGTCCTGCAGGCCACGGAGCGAACTGTCCCGCGTCTCCAAGAAGAACATCTTCCTCCTGTTTAAGAAGCTCTGCTCCTTCCGGGGCCGCAGGGACCTGCTCAAGCTTTCCTACGGCGAGGCCAAGAAGGCCGCCCGTGACTACGAGGCAGCCAAGAACTACTTCAAGAAGGGCCTGAAGGACATGGGCTATGGGAACTGGATCAGCAAGCCCCAGGAGGAGAAGAACTTCTACCTCTGCCCAGTATAGTGCGCGCCGGCCACGGGGGGCTGGGGCGCGCACGCCGGGGCCCAGCTCCCGCGCCACGTCGGTCACGGGGCCTTTTTCTTCCTTTCCTGTTCGTTCTTCTTTTTCATGGAGCCACGGTTGGTGACACCGAGACCGTAGGGTTGCCGTCCGCCCTCGTTCGTTGGGAATGGCCGGCCGGGCCCCGCCAGGCCCGCTGCTTTCCCCAGCACAGGGAGAGCCACAGGAAGACGGGCGGGTTCGCTCCTTCCCGCTCAGAGCGGAAGCCGTCACTGGCCCCTGCAGCCCGTTTCCTGCCCGCTCCGTGGTGGTCGTTCCGTGTCCTCTCCCAGTTTGCTGCCCTGACCTCTGTGGTGGTCGTTCCAGCCCACGCTGTGAATCGTATCGGGACCGGTGGCTTCCTCTGTAGGTCTGCGGGCCCCTCTGCCCCCCCTTTTGAGATCCCTTCCTTGGGGTCAGGTTCCTCCTTTTCCTCCAAGAGGGCAAAGAGATGAACTCGAAGAATTTGGTGGAACATTCACGGGGGCAGGAGTTCGAAACCGCAGTCAGCTGTTAGCGATGCCAGTGTGGTCGGAATCGGCAGACGACACCTGGTCACCTTCAGATGTTGCACTTTAGCCAGCTGGGGGAGCGAGAGGCCGGGGAAGCGGCCGCTCAGAAGTGCATCCCTCAGCAAGGACCGAGGTGTTCCCTGCAGGGGTGACCCAGACCACTCCCTGGGGGTGCAGACATGCCTTGCCGTAGCTCTAGGCTCCCGGCTCCCCTCCTCAAGCATTCCTCGGAACTCGTCCTGCAGGGGGCTCAGGGCTGAACCCCAGCCATCTGGCAGGAGGAGCCCTGGACGCGTGCTGGACGGCCAGCCGTCTCTGCTTAGATAATCAGGATTTGGCAAGAATAAGGGTGGAAGATGACGTTGGGCAGGTCGCCATCCCACCTCACTTCAGTCACAGCAAGGGGAGTGGACGAGCTCGCGGGTAAAGCAGTGTTTGAAAGAATGCCGTAAACGTCGATTCCTAACTACCGCAGGTGGCCTGTGATCACACAGATCTAAGATCCAGACAATTTTTCATTTAAGTGCTTTAGTTTTGCCAGGTGGCTTCAGAAGGTCGTTCATGGGCAGGTCACAGACCTGAGGTCTCCCCGCCTGTTAGGAAATCTTTTTAGGGTTGACAGATGGCAGCCATTGTAGGTGAGAGGCCGGGTTGTCAGATTCCGTGGCGGGGGGTCCCTGGCTCACACCCCAGGCCCACGTTGACTGCGGGGTCAGGGCGTGGGCCCCTCCGTGCAGTCTGGCCGAGGGCCGGTCAGCCGGACACACTCAAGAGCAGCACAGAGGCCCTGCCTCCCCGAGACCTGAGCCAGCTTCTCTCAGCCAGAGGGTACCTCTCTTCACCCGTGAACTTGGCAGGCGGCGCCCTGCGCGGTTCTTTACCCTCCCCCGCCCGCAGACTCCAGCCTTGTCAGCCACCGCCTGCCCACGTCTCCAGTAGGAGCACCCACGTTCACCCCTGTGTTCTTGTAGCTTCTGTTCCCCAAAGTTGAGAAGCCCCGAGTTTGTTTCATACACTAAGGCGTCTTTGCAGAACCAAAGCATCGTGGGGAGCAGGTAGGGAAACTGCCCGCCCCGGCGGGAGGGGCTGCCTACCCCGGTCCTGCGACTCTGCAGGGGGCATGTTAGCCAGTCCCGCCAGGCAGGCCACTGGTCTCCGTGGTTCTTCAAGCTGGAGGGTGGCCCTCTGGGCCCCTCGGGCATCGGCCCTTTGCCCGGAGCTCGTGGCTCTCGAAGACCAGCGTCCCGCTCACCCCAAGTCTTGTCCAGCAGCCTTGTGGAGTAGAGCGAGGCCTCCCTGGAGTAAAGTGGAGTCCCCTGGAAACAAGCCCGTATTGGGCCCTGCACGGCCACACCCCACACCCGAGGCACACAGGACAGGAGGCTGCCCCAGCCTGGTGTCCCCTTTACTTTCTTGTCCAATCTCTGTTTTTAATAAGCAGGGCCCCCTTCTCCCTGCCCCTCATCTTTTTTTTTAAAATCATCTTTGTAGTTGATTTGTCTGAACTGTGGCAATTGTGCATTTTTGAATAATCACTTGTAAAAATCATCACTGCTTGAAGCTATTTCTTTGACTCATGTGGAAGAGACTATTGGTTTTGGGGGTCTTGGCAGTGACTCCAGGAGCAGAATGAGGAAGAGCCCAAGCGTGGACTTGGCCTTGACGGCTGCCGTCTGCTTTTTGATTCTGCTTTTCTGTGTCCCCTGATAACTAATAATATACATTCCTCTAAATAAAAAGTTCACAGAATCGGTAGAAATCTGCAGGCTTGGTTCTTGGGGGAGGTGAGCGTGGGGCAGAGAGATTTCTGGTGGCAGTACAGGCTGCATCTAACAGCGTAAGGAGAGGGAGGTGAGCTTGTGTCTGGGTGGGGTGCGGCATCCCAGGTACCCTCACCCCTGCCAGAGCCCACCCTCAAACAGCTTGTTCTCAGAGACCCGACAGGCAAGATTTCAAGGTCCAGCGCAGGAAAACGCCCCTTGGGACGATGTCACTACATATGTAGCAGGTGCCTCACCTTGAGGCGTGTTCTACAGCGCTCTCCCCCCGCCCCCCGACCCCAGAGCGTGCATGTTTGCAGCGGAGCTGCAGCCCCCACCAGGACTGGCCGCCTGCAGTCTTAGGAGACAGGCCATTTGCCTTTGACTTTGTAGGTGGCTCCCAGAATATTTCTCCATCTGAGATTTCAAGAGAACGCACCACTTTATACATTGTAATTCAGTCCAGAATGTCTACGGGACTCATTCTCAACTTTTTAAAAGTGATAGACCAGAGGACACGGCGGCAAGGCGGAGTCGCACAAAGCCACCTTCCTCACCCCGGAACAGCCAGCGACGTGACATGTCGGGGGCACTTTCGGTGAGGCCCAGCACCCCGGGTGCCGTTTGCAGTCTGTTGAAGCAGTGCTGGGTGAGCTGCACGGGGTTTAAAACCAGGGCAGGGCGCCGTGTGTGCCCGCCATGATGTACCCGGAACCTCGGGACCTGTCCTGTTCTCAGGCAGCTGCTGACCCCCCTCCCCCGCCTGAGGGAAGCGTGGTGTCCAGGTCTTGTAGGAAGTGGACCTTTTCCTTTGGCGGTGTCTGCAGAGGGAACAAGGCCGCACCACCCCCCCCAACCCCCGCCCCCGCCTCCAGGTCAGACTCAAGACTCCCTGCGGGACCACGGGACACTTCAGCTTATCCGGGACACTTCCGCTTATCCGTCGCCGCCCGCCCTGCATTTCGTCAGGGAAGCCCACGACCACGTGCCATTTCCAGGTCTGGCCAGTGTCTTGGGACCAGGTCTGTCCTCCACGCAGATGGCAGCCTTGACTTCCTGGAGTGCAGGGCTGAGAGGGGCCCGGCCACCCCTGCC